ACCTTGGTATTTCCTGTTACAAGCCACAGCTGACCCATTCTCACCAGTTAAATGTACGGTTGTTTAAGATAGATGCCAGACACTGTTTTTAAGAGTGTCCTACAAGCGGGAGTGGTGAGAGGGAAGTGTGCCTTCGGCAGCAGCTACAAATCAGAATATACTTAGTAAAATGAAGGGGAGGAGGAACTGAGGCATGGTGAGTATTCTGCCTGCCTGGCTCAGGACCAGAGAACAGAATCATTATTGGATAAACTGAGCTGCTATTGGAGCCACAGTTTAAATTCGGAAATAAACCTTCTCACATAAGATATCCCAGAAGCTTGTGTGGCTCGATGGAGTTTGGTGATTACCAAAGGTTTTCTTCAAGCACATTATTGTGTGCAATACCAACATATACCCAAAGGACATAACCGTGGAACTAACCCGGGGAGAAGAAGGTGGGTTACCTTCCTTCCCCCACAGAACCAGCACCCTCCCCCAAACTGCACAATGCCCAAAGGCTCTCTCATACGAAAACTTTGAACCTTATGATACTTCCAAGTCCTACCACCAAACAGTCTACACATCTGCGTTAAACAAAATGTGGAATCTGTGACTACACAGAATACGAAGTGTGATGGAAAAAGATACGATGAATGCTTAAATTTTTAAAATTTATTTCAGTCAAAGACACATTGCCATAAGCCCCCCTCAAAACACTCCTCTTCTCTTCGAGCACATGTGTCCCATCATTCTTGCCTCTCTCTGAAGCGGTTCTGGACATCCTCTTTCATGAGAGTTTTTACAAGGTGTGATTGAGAAGTACAGTGAATGCTGCTGGCCAACACCATCCAATAGAAAGGCAGGATCATAGAAAATATTATGGTGCATCCTCAACTATCTTATGCATGGGTTCTGGAACCTTGTGACTTCTGGCTCATCCCCAAAGTCAAAATGGCCACGAGTGGTCAACATTTTCAATCAATTCAGGACACTGAGTTAGCCCTGACAGTGCAACTAGAGACACTCGAGAAAAAGCTCTCCAGAAGTGCTTCAGAAAGTAGCACGAAGGACAGGAAAAGCATATTCTAAGTGAGGGGGAGGATTTTGAGAAGGATTAATGGCAACGGGCCTTTTATCATAATAATTTTTCTTTTAACGTTCAACATACTTTTTGATGATACCTCATACACAGGTAGTTTGAAAATCTTACATTGAGATAATATTTAAGGGGAACGTAGAGAAGAAAAAAGCTATTCAGTTTATGAGCCTATAATGGAGAACAGTTTCTCAGCAGCTGAAGGTCATCTTGAAGGGAGGAAAGCTAGAAAGGAGATGTCAGGATGCCTCAGTTCTGGTCCTGACCCCACTCATCAGCTAGGGCTTCTCAGCATAACGTTTCACCTCTAGCCTCTGTCTGCTTTGATTTCTCCACCTATAAAAGAAAAGCATCCAAATAGATATATTCTCCTTGCCAGGAATGAAGTTCTACAGTGCTGTGATTCTAAATTTAGACATATACAGGGAATCCAACTCAGGTGGTAAGGATATAAATACCAGTTGAATATCGATAATTGCATATGGTTCAACCTAACAGCACCCAGAGGGATCCAGACCACCACATCCACCACTAAACACAGACACCACAGCCTCTTCCTGTAAGAGTTTAGCATATAGGGCACAGGAGAGAAATTCACAGAGAGAAAGGGAAATTATAGAAAATGTATTTTGAGTCATGTGCCTATCAGCAACTTTCTCAGGGAATAAAAGCATGCTCTAGGATACGATAGCATAACATGCCCAGGACGAGACATTCCCAAGTCATTTCTCTGTCATCGTCTGTGATGGGCCCAGGAATGGTAATAGGAGCCTGTGTTAGTTCTGTCTGAAAATGCCAGCTGGTTCAAAGTACTTATGTAGGCCACGGATGTCACAGCCTAGATGTGGTCACCGTGATATTCAAAGGTCAAAGAGGGGTCTAATTACATGCCCTAGTGCATAAAGGCCAGAGTCGCCGGAGCATGAGCTTAATCACTCGGGCCAAACAAGACCCATTTATAATTTTAATTATCAGCAAATCCGACAACTCTATCAAATACCAATTATTTGGCTGTTGCTGAAAATAACTGTCTTGTCTTGTTAGCCTCCAGAATAACCCCTTGAGGGATGCTGAAATGTTTCCCTTAATATAAATATTTATCAAAATCCATCAAGCAGGATTAGACTCATTTAATGATGCTCAGTATTCGTGGTTTCTATTATTTATTTTTGTGGAACTTCTAGAATAGGGAGAATGTTACAGAGACTGTCAACATTGTCCACCCCTAACATCTGGGCCTCACTTTAGGACACAATGCAAGTGATGCCCCAACAGCTTTCTTTTTTAAAATATTGAAATAGTGCACCTCACCATTCAGTGAGACTGTACAGGGGGCCCCCGTTCAGTGACAAACACTTTCTGTGTCTGTTTTGGTTTTTTTTTGGTTTTTTTTTGGGGGGGGTACCGGGAATACCGAACTCAGGACCTTGCACTTGCCAGGCAGACACTTGTGCCACTGAGCTAAATCCCCAGCCCCTACTTTCTGGGTCTGGACACCTGGAATATATAATGAAAAATAGAGGAGGTTTTCCCCCCAAAGAGTTCACATTCAGAGAAATTAATACATGCTAGTGAAGAATTTAGCTTTAGGCTAGACAGGACTTATTTTTCTTTAATTCCAAAATTAGGTTTTGCATGGAGAATCCAAGAAACAGTCCATAAATGATTAATCTTAACATTAAGCAATAGTTACTCTGAGCATGCTATTAAATAAGCCTATGAAATTGCAAATTCAATAACTGTTGAACATCAGTAATCTCACATAGGTTAACCTAATAGCATGTGAGGAGAAATAAAAAAAAGAGATGTAAAATGCCCAGATGGCCTAAGTTTTTAAAAATTGACTCTCTTAAGGGCACATGTCTTCAAGTGACTTGTGTTTATTTGTTTTTTTTTTTTTTTGGTTTTTCTCTGGTACCGGGAACCGAACTCACGACCTTGCACTTGCCAGACAGGCGCTTTTGCCGCTGAGCTAAATCCCCAGCCCCAAGTGACTTGTGTTTAAACCACGCCCTGGGCTGTCACTGTGTGACCATCCTCTTGTGTGTGCCTTTCAAAGCCAGGAGCTCTGCTTTTTACTGTGATCCTTTCTCCCTCTTCCTTTTTACCTACGGCAATTAAGACACAAGCAGTATGTCATCTGCGTGCCTTTGATATTTCCATTTCATTTGTGACTTCAGACTCCTCAGTCATTTTTGACACTCTTATAATTTTTATCTGCAATTAAGCTTTCATTATCTTCCTTCCCTATATCTTACATGTCCAATAAGCCTCTCGATTTCCTTAATTACTAAGTAACCTTCCTTCTTCATGCCGAGGGCTATTTTTATTCCTACAATATTTATTACTAATTGGCACACACACACTTTTATCCTTAGAATAATTTTCCTGGTCTGCCCTTTTTTTACCCTCTGTTTCACTCTTCTGGAAACATTTTGTACTCCTTGATGACACTTGATATTACATCTTTTTGCAATGGCAATACACTGTCGCACTTCTTCAGAAGTAGTTTGAAGTCTTACTCTTCATTTACAAATGATGCTTTATGCTTCCTGAAGCGCTCTCTCTCCCTCTCTCTCCCTCCATCCCTCTCTCTCTGCCCCCTCTTTCTCTCTCTCAGCACCCACAGATCCTGCCATCAGAGTCAGAGCCTGTGGTTCTTTCTATGCCACGCTGCTCCTGTTGTTTGACTGTGTTTTTGCATTCCCATTTAATGTTTGACACTCTGCATTCTGGCCTAGGAATAGAGCGTGGTACAGCAGTGGCACCCACGTGACAAACACGTACATCTGGAGCACAGCTCAGAAATGCTGTCTCAGTTCAAGTTCCTTGAGTCAATGGCTTCTTCCTCTGAGTAGAAACTGAACCTCAGACATTTATAGGAAATTATCATTTGATTAGAAGTCCCCAGAACTCACCCTGTTAGGGAAAGTAAAACTACTTTTAAAACACATTATGACATACGTGTTTTATTAAATAAGGAATGCATACTAATTGCCAATGTGTCAGATAAGGCAGATAGAAAATAGAAGAAAAACCATGTATATCACCTTCACCCAGAGACAATTCTATTATATATGGTTGAGAATATTTTTAGCAACCTTTGCTTTAGCTAGCAAGGAACCCTTCCCTCTCTACTTTCTACTTTCTACTTCACAATGTACTCGTTTCTCTCTCCTGGAGCAAGGTTTGTTATATTTTCAAGGGACTAACGGTATGTTTTTGTTTTTCCTTTTATCGGACCCATCTGATTTAAAATTCTTCTTTCCTCATAAATAACTTTGCCCCAACTTCTCTGCATATATTCACATTCTATTCAGCCTAGTAAGTTTCTCTCTTGGCTTTTCCTCCTTGGTCTTGCACCACACACACCCTGACATTTTTATCTCCCTGCAGCGTAGATGAAGGTTTTGGGCACTAAGTCAGAGACTGTGAACCACCTCCAGGGCCTGGGACAGAATGAAGGACCGGCAGTGGTGACGAGATAGCCACTCCGCAAGTCGAGTGTTAGCCCAGAGCTATGTGGTTGGAAAATCCAACGGGCAGGAGTCCAATAAAAGAGCATTTGAACTAAAAGTGTATTATCCTAAAGTGCACATTTTTATTTAATTCAGGGTAAGGCAGAATGAATCATAATAGGTCAATAATAATGACTTATGGCTTCCTTCATACGGCACATTTACAATAAATGGTAATTTACCATTAAAGAGAGACATATTTCTTTTTTGTGCCCAAGAAAAATTAGCATTAGTCATACTGAAAAAGAACAGGTTTTCCATTGCTACATTTAGGATTTGTATTCAGACTCAGTCTACACAGACTTAGAATACCACATGCAAACCACTTTCTCACAGATTTCTCCCTCCCTCTTCCCATTTAGAGCACACAGGAAGGATCAGAATGCGACCATTTATGACATCATCCCAACTTTAAGGTGATGGACGACACATCCATTTGGTGGAGCTATTTGGAGACTATTTCATGTTCCAGTCATTAGACCTGTGAAATGAGCGCAGGCTTGGCATCGAACGGGTACAGAAAAGAAGTCGTATCTGTAGGTGACTATCCGTAACTGACTGAAATGTACGCATACCACTCAAAGTGTTGCGTCTTTAGATCCTGCCCTGCCCCTCCTTTCCTTCTTTCTTCCTGCTGAAATGCTCTAATGCTTTTCTTGAGATATTGACTCTGTTTATTGACAAAATTATAGGCCATTATTGTTTTCACAAATCAATAGGGATCTTAGATTTGGACTTTTCTATTGAAAAGCCACTGACTCTGACTCATTTAGTTTATTGCCCCACCTTTGTTATCCAGGCTAAAAAAAAAAGTGTGTGTGTCAAGCAGGCTACAAAAAAATGTAATTATAGAAGTTCCATCTTCCTATCTCCCTCCTCACTATTTGGCTAAAATGTTCCTCCTGCTCAGAGAGAAGTCAGATTGAATTACAGAGAACATCCTAACACTTTCGAAGCTGCATATTCAATTTCTGGGGTCTATAAACTAGCTCACAATAACATGATTAGGGGAAAGTCTTGAGTAATTGGATGAAGTCAGGCTCAGAAGATTTGCACAATAATCAATGAAATCTACGGCTCCTAGCTCTGCTGGTTCCATACTGCTTTCCATCCACCCACATGGCCCTTTTCAAAGCTGAAGCCTCAGTGAAAGAATATCAAACCCACAAAACTGAGCTAATTTCATAAGCTTTTTGAAAGTAGATTGGATTTAACAGGGCTGTGCTTTTGGAAATGAATGGTTGATATAAATCAGAGGTAGTGGAAAGGTAACGTTTATCTGATTTGATTTAGCAGCAATCTGGTCCAGATGGCAACGTGGAATTTAAAGATATTGAAATATATGGTTGCAGCTGGAGACTGTATAAACCTAAATATAAATAATTCAGATGTGCTTATGCATTTAACAATGTCAGTTTTAAATATAGATAAGAGCCAAGACTGTAGGCTAGCAATTGAAAACAAGAAGATGACTAAATGCAGGTGCTCTGACATATGTGACCATATTTTAATGCCTAATTTAGCCCTAATCTGGAAATAGAGGTGGAGTTCATTAGCTCTACCTGTCTAGCCTAAGCGAATGAAGCACAAATTAGCAGTAGGTCGGTACATCAGAAGAGAGAGGTGTGATTAAAAACAAGCCAGTAGGATGAACACCTGATTTTGACACAGAAATACATAACCTTTCTCTGCATGCTGGGACCACAGACTTATTTTTCTAAAAAGGAAAAACAAGGAAGATGGCCCCTTTTCAACCTGAACCAATGAAGGCTTGCTGCCATCTTGAAAGGATCTGGAAACAGAATCCCAAAGCTTTGAGAAGAGCTTCTAGGGTTTAGTGTCCAGCTGCTTCTGCCAGTCAGAAAGAACACTGAGTTTAAAGACCTGAATTCAAATTCTGCTCGTCGTTCAACAGCCCCGAGGGGGAGGCCTGAGTGTGGAAGGGAAGAATCCACATCCCTAGGGAAGCGAGGACTGAGAATCCCTGAACCACCAATGTTGCTGCTTTCTCTCCTTGTTTTGATCTTTCCTTCGCTCTTCTGTCCCTTCTTCCTTTTAAACTATTACCCCATTGAACCAGACAGTCGGGTAACAAAAGTTTGGGGCTGACTCTGGGCTCTCCTGAGATTCAGGGAGATACGATTTTCACTGAATGTACCAACCCCAGATGCTGCTGGTCTCCCAGTCCTACACATCCACACTTCCGCAAACACAGTGCCTCCACTCTCGCGTTTAGAGATCTGTTTCTTTGTTGCCTGTTTGTAAAAGCAGGGGCCTTCCTGATAGGGCCATTGGAAGGATGGCTTGGCACTTGGTAAGACCTTAAACTAATATTCGGTATTTAAAAAACAATGACTTTGGAAGATAATGAGGACAGAAAAATTTATAAGATGTCTCTGTAAGCTGTTTTGGGGGAGGGGTAGTTATGAGAAAATAAGACATCAAAGAGGACTCCACACCTCCCATTCGGCTTGATTAAACCCTACCTAGAATCAAAGACCTTGCTTGAGAATAAAGAACCAGCTTGGGAGATTAAGTGACTTGTCGAAGGTCACAGAGCTAATTATAGTTTGGCTTAGAGCAAAAGTCCCCTGGATCCCAATATAGAACCTGCTCATTCCAGCTCCATAGGAAAAAAAAAAAATGGGTGAAGACATTTACTAAAGTCCCAGGAAAAGCAAAATTGAGGTAGGTTTGCATAATCAAAAGCAAATGATGGAACCTTGGCATTCTTTCTAAAATAGATCAGGGCCAATGTCGTCATTTTCCCTGGAATCTATTTTAGGAAGAAGAACAGGAACGTAAAACCTTTTTCATGGAGGGAGGAGCCCAGGGAAGACTGAACAAGTAGGGTTGTGGTAGATGGTTACCGTTGTCTCAGCTGATTGAAATTATTTTCTGAAGTTATTTTCCTAAATTACAGGCCATCTTAATTCATTAGGAATACTCTTGTGATATTGGCTTCTACGTCACTTGGCTCATTCATGCCCCTACCAGCCACAAGGGGAACAGTGCCCCCCTTCTCACACGTAACGAGGCTGTGTCTTGTGTTGGCATCAGATGGGTCTCACAGCACATCTGGAAGCCCACAGCTTCAGCTTATTAAGCTGCCACACCGATCCTCCTACAACCAACCTTCCCTACTGCAAGCAAGTGGGGGCTGCAAGGAATGTTCTGGTCTGGCTCTGTATTCCCAGCACTAACAGAACCTGGGACGAGGGATCATGTTCTACATGTTGGTTGAACAACACTGAAAGCCATGTGCATCTACATTGCAATTTAGTCATTTGTTCATCGGTTCATTCGGGTATGCATGCACATTGTTCTAGGGCCGGGTGACCACGGGGACCAGGACACAGTTCCATCCCCAGAAATCCACGCACACTCATCACTGAGACGGTTAGATGGCAGTTCCAATACACTGCAAGAAGCACTGTGATGGGGCTGGGAGGGGTGTCCTGGAGCAGAACGTGTGCTGAGCATGCTCAAGGCCCCGAGCTCATCCCAACCACTAAAACTGCAATGAGAAACTTGTGATAATGAAAGAGCAAGGGCATTTTCTAGGAAAGACTCAGAAAGGCCACTCAGCTCAGTCTTAGGGACACATTCACTGAGGAAGTGATGGATAATAGGGAACTGAGATGACAGCAGAAAGGAGAAGTATAGGGAGGTTTCAAGCAGCGTTCCCTGGGAGCGAAGTTACAGGTGTAGGTGGGAAGATCAGGACACAGCCCAGGGCAGGAATGGCCCAGCCTCCTATTTTTAGGACTTTCCTACCCAGGGCTCATGGGACCCTCACCTGCACTGTCTAGAATAGAGTGCATTTAGGAGGGCGGGGCTGGGCTCACTGTTCCGTCTAACCTACAGGTGAGGAAAAGAAGATCCAGACACAGAGCATTGGAATAACCAGTTCAGAACACACTTGGCAGGGTCTGGCTACTCCAGGGTCAGTGTTCACTCTCCCAGATCACAGTGCCGATTGTCCAGAGCTAAGTGACCAAAGCCAGGGTTCAGGCCGGCCTGGGCTAGAAGAACATGCTGTCCTCACGCTTGGGCTGGCAGTGACCTTGCTCGGCCCCATGGCCAGGGCCTCCACCTAAACACGCAGATGCCAGAAGGCTTTAACTTCAAAGACAGGTCAACCCTGGAGGCTCCAGCGCCCCAAGGCTCCTTCTGAAATCCACACTCCTTGTGCCAGCAGCTCCAACTGTGACCTGAGGAACAACTTGCTCCTCAGCCTGTTCTAAGTGCATTGGAGAAAGGTTCTTGGGCAACTCAGAGTGACCCAGATGGACCAGCTTGCACCACAGGGACACATAGCACCAAAGCCCGAGTCCTCTCACCACCACCGTGTCCCAGTGAACCTGTGTCTGAAATTCCCGTGGGTCTCTCACCTGCTCTTCTCAAGTTCCCCAGGATCAAAGCATGCCAGCGACTCCAGAGTGGTGTTCTTGGATCTCCTCCCGCGTGCCTGGCCTGCTCCTGGTGTTGCCCATATATGACAGCTCCAACGGTCCTCATTCTCCCAACCAGGAGGCTAGAGCAGAGAAAGCCTAAGTGATCCTTGGAGGCCTTGGGTCATGAACTGCAGCAGCCCTGATCCAGGGCGTAATCCTGACAGCCACCCTAGAAGTCCTGCCCTGGACCAGGGGATGAGAGCAGTGGAGATGGAGCAGGGGGATTTTCAGACCTCCCCGTGCACACTCACTCCACCCCCTGTGCACACTTACTCCACCCCTCTGTGCACACTCACTCCATCCCCTCTGTGCACGCTTGCTCCATCCCCTCTGTGCACACTCACTCCACCCCTTTGTGGGCACTCACTCCACCCCCTGTGCACACTTGCTCCATCCCCTCTGTGCACACTTACTCCACCCCTCTGTGCACACTCGCTCCATCCCCTCTGTGCACACTCACTCTACCCCTCTAGGCACACTCACTCTACCCCTCTGTGCACACTCACACACCCCTCTGCACATGCTCACACCACGCTCACTGCACACAGTGTCCTTCCTTCTCTGTCACACTTCCTTTTCACTCCCTGCTCTTCACAAAGCACTGCACAGCTCGTTCGTATACTGAGGAGGAGATGCAGCCTCCCAGGGCATATGCTGCCTCCCACCGTCCCTGAATCAGGCGGAATCCATGGCTTCTCAGGGTCTCCTAACTACATGGTAATGGTGTCATTCTGAGCCTGACCCTCTAACTCTGGAGGAGCTTTTCCTCTGCGGCTGAGCGCATTCTGTTTCCTTACCTGCCTACACAGGCTAAGAACAGCACCAGCACTGGGTTGACCCATCAGGGAGTGTGCAAAGGCCACCACTGACAGAGGGTTTGCCTTTGGATCCCTACCCAAGCGCTGAGGGAAGCAGCAGATGGGGTCCCAGGCCGAAACTCTGAGCACAAGTAACATCTGCACTGAGAGTGGCTGGCGGGAGGCAGAGTCCCTGTCACTGGCCAAGGAGGTCTGGCGGCCACACTGAGGAAGGGTGGTCAGTCCGGAGCTAGATAAGATCTCAGACACACACTCTGTGACCCCACAGGAGTCTGGTTTGGGTTAGCACAACTGTCCGCTAACTAGTCTCCCTCCAAATCTACTTCCAAACTGACGCCAGTTAACACACACACACACACACACACACACACACACACACACACTTCCACAGCCCTGTGGCTGGAAGCACTTGTTCTCCGGCTCTGGTTGTTTGTTGTCCTGCAGACCTGCAGCTTCTGTGTGGAGCGGGAGGGGAGGGGAGGGAGATCCAGCCATAGTGTGCTGTAGTCCTCACCCAGTGGCAGCAAATTAACCTGCTTCTCGTATCTGCGTGAAAGAGCAGGACTCTATGGGCTATTTCGTTTATTTCGTTTGCTGATAAAAAATACAAATAAAAGAATTTGAAAACCCTCAGAACCCCTGGCTTCTGGCATGAATGCAGATTCTTTGGAATTGAAGTCTGGACCGCTGCAGCCCCAGCACACAGCTCTGCCTGGCTCCTCCGTCCCCTTGCACCGTTTCTCGCCTTTGACCCGTATCCCTCCAGGCAGCCCACCCTGTGTCCAGCTGAGGGCTGCAAGGTGGTGGAGACTCTCCCACTGATACATTTCCATGTTGGTGAAGTATTCTTTAAAAGCTCAGCTCCAACTCATTTCTCATCTCCTTTGAGACCCCTCGCAGAAGTCAGTCGCTGATGCCGGCACTTGTCACAAGCTTAGCACACGCTGACCTGGGGGTGTTTCCCACAAAGCCAGGAGCTCTTGCTGTCACCGGTACTGCTCACACCTGAGGACACACAACAGGCGCCTCAGAAATACTTACAGCTGAAAAATGATACAGGTGAAAAATGATAATTACCAAAGTCTGTAGGAAAGCCCCAGGTGAATGCCCCAGAAGCAAAAATAAAATAGGGATGTTAAATAAATTTCAACTTTGCTTCAGATGGGGACACCCTCGGAGTTTCTTGCCTGAAATTCATAAGTGACACCAGAGGAGAAAGGAGATGGTGACCCAGGTTTGGGAGGCAGACTGGCACGGGGAGTTCTGCAGAGCCTGTGCTCTGCCCTTCCTCCCTCGTGCTGTAAAATAATCTAAATCCCGCGTTGTCCCTGGCTGTGCGCAGAACCAGAGGAAGTGCGGAGACACACAGCCCTCGAGCAAAAGGGGAAGGCAGGGACATGATGGACGGCTCAGGCCTGAGCCCCTTCCAGTTCGGGGTGGCTGTACACGGCCTCCCATTGTTTCCAGGCCTAGGAGCAAAGGAGTTCGTGCCAGTTCTTACCAGGGAAAATACCCACTGGGCAGAAGAAGATCAGGTCGGTGCTGCCAACCCCGCAAGGCGAACTCAGCCTCCTAAACCACACTTCCTCTTCCGCATGTGGGTTTGCCCTAAACCGGTACACAGATTAGATTAGGAAAGGCTGTGGGATTACTCAGAAAAGCTTAACTCCATTTCATCCCAGAAAGAGCAGTAATGACTTCACTGTGCATATTTAAGGGGTGGTAAAGAAATGGTAGCTGTGTGTATTCGTAGAGGCCGTCTTCCCCAAAGCATGCTTCCACATCTGCAGTTCTAGCTGCTAATACCTTTTATGTTATGGTACCAAGAGTCTAAGAGTCACCAGTACCAGAGACTTTCATTTTCAAAAGCCAAATCGGAAGCAACTTGAAAGATCTCACTTTCACTTACACTGATTCAAAGGTAAGAATAAAGAGGAGGGTTTTGATTTGTTGCAGGCTGTGGTAGTCGGGCTTCACAACGGCGCCATCATGATCCGGGTCTTCTGCAACTCAGACCTTTGAACGGCCTCTCTCCAGAGCGAACCAGGGTGGCTCCTTGATACAGAAGGTAAAAACAGTCTCCTCTGTGCAGAACCAGGATGTTCAGGAGCAAGATTAGAAGAAACATTGCAACCTCTGCCTTATTCTCGCCAGTCACTAAAGAAATCTGTGGAGAGGACCTGAGGCCTCCCATCGAGAAAGCAACAGAGGACAGCATCTTTGGTGCCCTTCTGCGTCCATCCCACGTGAGGCTCCAATCAATGGCTGCTCAGCCACTTTGCTGCCAAATTCCTGGCCCGTAAACACTGGGGGAGTTGTCAACTGCTTATGGCCGAACCACGAGGTCTCAGGGTGATTGGTGATGCAACAATCAATACCTAATAAAAAGGCATCCAGATGTTCATCCATTTGTTGGACGGGTAATTTTTCAACATCTTTGCACCAGGGGCTGGATTGATATGACCATGGACTCTGACAAAGAGCACAGGAGGAGAGAGACAGAGCTGGGAAGACAGCTCAGCGCAGTGCCTTTCCTCGCAAGCTGACTTGTTCTCAGCTTCAGTCTGAGGAAAGACCTGACTCTTGTTCCCACCAGTAGCTGAGTTCCTTCCCTCCATACCTGCGTGCAGAACCTCAGCCACTGGTTTAAGCAGTAGGCATGATTAGCTCATGAAACTAGGCGGCGTGGGTCCCGTTCAGTGCTAAATATGTCTTACCGCACATAATCTGCAAGTGCCTCTGTGGAAGAGCACTGATATTCCGGTTTTACAGAGTGAGAAAACGGATGCTCATAGAAGTAAAAGAATGGTTGACTCTTGTGGTCAGACGGTATAATCCAGAACCTCTCTCTCCAAAGCTGGGCTCGTTTGTCTCCATTGGTTTCAGACTCAGGTAGGCTTTCCCTCAGGAGTGCAGCCCCAGGAGTGCAAACTACCAACCTCGTACTCCTCACCACACTAGCGTATCTCCTTGCAAATAGTTCCTAAAATTGTCCTGGAGCTGACATCCATTAGCTCTGGTCACCATCCTACTCTGTCACATGTCCACTCAACACAAAGGTGGTAGAGTGACCCCAAATGAACTGCACTTACTGAGGGTAAGGGAAGGGTGGATTCCTGAAAGAATTCCCAGCTTTTAATGCCAGGACAAAGGACAGCAAGTAAATAACTGATGTTCCCCGGAACCTTCTCTCTCTGCTGCCTTAAATAAAAAGTGCCCAGTGGGAGAGGGTAGGAAAAAGAACTAATGAAGTCAGCTTGGATCAGATAGAGTCTTGAATCCATTCTCTCATTACCTAAAAGCTTATTCATAAGCCTGTACATAAATCTGTTAGCCTGAGGAGTAAATGCAATAGACAGTTGGGGCTGGCTTGTCCTGATGTACAAAAGCCAATTACAATTTCCGGAATTTTTCAAGAGGATTGCAAAACATAGCCACTCTTAAAAAAAAAAAAAAAAAAAAAAACATAGCCACTCTTTAAATGAGCAAGTTAAATTTAAAATTAAACTATATATACTAAAGGCAATAAGTAGGACTTTAATAATTAGTTTAATAATATAAAATAATTAATTTAATAATTGTTTTAATGGAGAGTTTCTGTTATCTATATTATCTATAGCCATTATAAAAGTAAAAGGTGGAAACACTATTTTACTGATGCCATTTTGGTAACTTGAAATTAGCAAAGGTGGGAACACTTCCACCTTTGGAAGGTGGAAATTAGCTTGAAATTAGCAAAGGTGGACTACTTCCACCATGGGTTTAGTTTATTTTCTTTTGGTTATCTACACTTAAGAAAGCAATAGAGAAAGCAGCAGTGTTGCAAATATATCCATAGTCATCATGTTGTTAACTGTGCAATAATATTCCCTGGTATATGTGAGTTTCTGACTCAGCAAAGATGAGCCACATTTCTGATGAACAAGTGAGGTTTCAGTGTTTTCTTAGAGGCTGGCAACACGTGAAAGAGTTCAGCAAAAATTAACAAAAGCATTCTTCGTGATACAAGTGGCTAGATGGAACTTACAACAGAGTGCTACTTACAGTGAGTATGCTACACGCCTTTTTACCATTAAAACTTAAAATAATGTGTACTCATCCATGTACAAGTTTCCTACATCTCTTCCCCAACAGCACTGGTTAAACATTTACCAGGATACTTGTTTTAGGCATTTTCTTGTTGCTGAAACAAAATACTCAACACCAAAGGAGAGAGGTTTATCTGGGCTCACAATTTCAGCAGGTTCAGTCCATGGCTCACTGGCTCCCGTGCAGAGACAGCACAGTGCAAAGAACTGCCATGGAAGAGGGCTGCTCACATCCTGATGTCCTGGAAGCAGAGAGAGATGCAGGAGCCAGGGTAGAGATGCACCTTTTCAGGTCACTCCCTCAGTGACGGCCTCTAACTAGGCCAACCTGCTAAGAGTAACAGCACACTCAGATGCTGAGCTCATCACTGATAGGGAGTACAGGGCTCCCTGGACCCACTTACCTTCCAAAAGCTCCACCTCTGAGTGAATGAGGCTTTGGAGGGACTTTCCATATCTAAACCATAACAACTGGATAAAGAGTAGATATGCAATTTTACATGAAGCTAATAATTCACATTACTCTGTAGGCTATGAGGAGCTACTTTGTGTTTTTGAGCAGAGGCATGGCATAGATTTGCACTTTAGAAAGTTCACTGGAAGTTGCTATGCAGGATAAATCAGAGGAGGGGAGATGGAAGACAGAGAGCTCTCTTAGAAAGTCTAATCAAACTCAAGTACAATTAATAATAACCTTCAATTAAGCAGTGGACATTATGTTAAAAAATTCCATATGCTATTTCTTTACTATGGATAACAACTGTATTAAGGTGATATCATCATGAGAGAGGCCATGAGCCTGCACAGAAGGTGCAGATTTAAGAAGGAAATGTCACAAATAAGCATGCTTATCTATGCTTAGGGGTGGGCTTCTCTGGATGTCTGGCAGCCAGTCCCTCTAGTGAATGGTGTGCTACCAGGGGCTTTGGAAGAACACCCTCTCGCACTGTGTGGGAGACCTGCTCTCACTCCTAAGGAGCAACTGCATCACCCAAGCTGAGCAAAACAGCCTTTCCCTCCTGGTGTGAAAATTCAAAAATGGGGGACGGATGAACATTCATTCCAGAGGTAATGCTTAGCATAGCTGGCTAAATTATTGGTTCTTCCTGAACCAAGGGTGGCCTAGGTTTCCTTCCAATTTCTAAAGCTAGTCTCCTACCTCAAATACCTTCTCTTTCTGCTTAAGTTTTCTTCTATTGTTTTCAACCAAAAAGCTTCCATTAATGTAGTGTCTGATTAGAAAAGAGGATGGTGGGAAGGTAGAGGACTGGGTGGTGTTTATGGGGATCCCCTTCTAATTAGGATGACTGTAAACAGGCCTCCTTCTAAAGTGTCACTCAGACAGGTGACTGCAATTTATTCTCTGTGTCACTTTCATTCTGGTGAACAATCTTTATTTTAACACCTGTATAGGGTGGGCTTCCTGAGCTACATAAAAGGGAACCTCTGCTCCTGTAGCTGCAGCAAGGTGCATATTAATGATGGTTGGGTAGACCCCTGCCTGTGAGGCTCAGAAACATGAAAGACACACCTACATGTGTGTGATCCATGCCATCAAAGGCCACAGGAACATCAGTGGGAAGGAAAATTGACAGAGCCACAGAACCCAGCCCTTATCAAACAGGAGGTCTGGACAAATCCTCATTAGAGAAGTCCCTGCGCCATGGCCTGATTGAAAGGTTTCCCGCTGCAAGGATCCGGAAGCAAAGGTCAAAGTGGCCTTGTGGTCAGGTCTTTCCACTGCTCTTTCTATGAGGGGATGAAGGAAGCCTTCAAATCAGTCAGGGTCGGACCTGGGCTAACAGCAGTGCTTAATCAGGTGCCCTTGGACCCAGGCAGGACAACTCTGACTATGGCAAAGGAGGCATCAGTGACAGATGCCCTAAGAGGCATTGGTCTCATATCTCTCCACTTCTGTCAAACTCCTGGTTGGCTGTGGATCAAGGCTGCCACTGTGACCACATCTGGCTACATCTACAGCAAAGATCAAAGCTCTAGATCTGCGAGTATAAAGAGGGCCACTTACCAGTCCCGTCTCAGCAGCCTGCTGCTTGCCCCTGGGGGCACCTGGGAAGTATTTGCAGGGGAAGGGTCAATAGTGAGAACAGGACAGGTCCACTATGCCCCAAAGCCTGAGGGGAATGTCTTGCATCACTGCACCTCCTGGGTCTCTGGTCCAGAAGGGAAGAATTTCCTCCTGCCCCTTTGCTGCCTCCCCAGTCCCACTGTCCTGTCAGCATTCCCATTTTTTCAGAGGCAGACAGAGGCCTGGGACTCCTCTGATGACACTTCCTGTTGTTTATTCTGGGGCCACTTGAGAGATAAGCATAGGAGAGGCCTGGCCTGGAATCCCTGCCTCCATCCGATGGTGCAGCTCAGCAGGTCACACAGCCCCTTCAGTCTCTGCCTTTGTTGAAAGGGAGGATGTGCGTCCTGTCTCTCACAAACCTTCCGTGTGCTGGGCAGGACCGGATGGTGCCTGTCCTGCCTCTCTTTATGGCAAAAATATCTTTACACAGACTCCCAGAAATGTGTGGTGTGCCTGCCCCTCTTGAAAACCACCTTTCATGCCATTACTATGACAACCTTCCTCTAACACGAGCAAGGTCCAGAGAGCAAATGCTGATGCCACAGATAACTGGCCTTTGGCACCCACCGCCCAAGCCAAGGCAGGCCACTGTCTGACCACCCCAGCTGCCTGGACGGAGGATGGAATCTCTCTGCTCAGTCATTTCCTGGATCAGACGCCCGCCTGGCTCCACAACACCAACCATTCAAAGCTGCCCTCTCTGCCCTTTCAAATTTAATTTGCTTCAAATCTTGTAGGAGCCACGGAATTATTTCAGGATTGGAGTCAAGTGAAAACAGGTGTGCTATTCTTTCGTCCCCCCCCCCCTTCAAAGGAGCCTGAGGAGGGTTGGAGGAGCCTGGCTGTAGAGCAGGGCAGTCCTGGCTCGCCTGGTGCTGCCTCAGTTTCTTGGAGGTCCCAAGGTAAGTCAGACTTCTGCCCCATGCAAGCATCCATGCAGGGACAGGATGTGGTATGACACTGTCCACCCCAGGCCAACACCCTGCTCTGCCCTTGAGCAGTCCATTCTGGTCTTAAGGCCGAGGCATGGTGGTCCTTCCTTCCAGGAGAAAGCCAAGTTCTCTCCCTGGCTCCCCTGGCATTTTCCTTGTCTGTCCCGTCTAGGCTGGCCCTGCTGGAGCGTTGGTATTTAGAGGACCATGTGTGGAAAACGTTCACAATGTTTGAAGTAAGTAGAAAAGTCTTATGCAAATAGAAACATTGGAGTTCAGCAAAAAGCCAACGCAC